GTTTATGAGGACAATTTAAATTATGGGATTTTATTATATCATTGTAAATATCATATAATCATTTTTACCTAACTTTGGAAGTAAATTAATCAACGCATGTATATATTTTGAGAAGATAAAGTGAGGAATCTCAAAATGTCTGTCTCTATTCCGAGTTACTGTCTTTTTGTTTTAATAAAGTGAGGACGAATCTTTATTTTTCGTTACGATCATCTGTTTGTTTTGAAAGTATCATCTACGCCTAGGCCCTAGGTCTAGGCGTAGTCACTAGCAGGCCTCTCAATTTAACTCAGAGAGGCCTAGTCTAGCCTCTAGTTAGGGCAGGCCCGTCTCTATTTTAGGCAACAGGGTAGGTTGCAATGTGAATCGTCGATGATAATATGTTAATTTCGCCTGTAAATGAATGATAAATAATAATATTAATAACATGAAAGTTTCCTTGTATCTAGCCTAGGCCTATGATGACTTAGGATATTAATATTATAAACTATAATTTATGAAATTAATAAAATATGGTCATTTTCAAACCGATACAAATAGCCTGGCCTATTTTTTGTAAATTGTAATACAAACAATAAATCAAAGTTGAAGAATTATTGCTTTGAGAGAAATTTTTGTACAACATATGCCTAATTAATCACAATAATAAAGAAGCAAGGCCTATGTAAGTAATATAGCAGCATTCTCCATACTTCTGTTTATATAAGTAAGTTATTATTATCCTTATTACTGTATTATTATTTATTGAATTTTTCATTTGTAATTGTAAACCATTTAAACGTTTTGATTTAGTGTATGTATTAAAACAATCAAATATACAATATATATTTAATTTTTTATCTTAAAAATCTTCTTAGATGCACAATTAATTGATTTGTAAAGCACAATTGGCCACATTTGCATAGCACAGGACTCCTTGGACAAGTTTTCGCTTTTACTGGAGGATTCAATTTTTATTTTAATTATAACTTAAGCTAGGCCTTTTACTTATACTTCATAGCTTTCTGGATATACGGTAGATAATTTAACAGCAAAGTGCAACATTGCATCACTTAGAAATTTCGGTACTGCTTCGAAATCCTTCCTTTTTTTCTTATTTTAATTATATTTATAGTATTATAAATAGGCCGATTTAAGTACTACCTGGTGGTAGACCAAAGAAGTACCGAAATCTAGGCCTAGTAGGTGGATCATACCGTGAAGTGGGGCGAGCGGCACATGCCTTAATTTACTACCTGGATAGCGAGATTTTTCGATCGCCATTCAAAGCCTTTATTTAAGTTAAATAAAATCCCAAATCCTCCTCCCTTTTAGAATTTAAGGAAATTGATACATTGTTGTTTCTTTGTTGGATCGATTGAAGCAACCCCAAAAAGCGAACATACCGGTATTTCACATTATATAATCATCTATCATAACTGCTAACTTCCTATCCTATCGTATTAGTTTGTGGCTCGCCAATGTTTAGGTGACAACATGGCCGGTTAATTCATGTGATGCGATCCACCCAATCACACGCGCGTATTGAAACCGAGTTGGCCAAACTCCCTATCTACGGCTCTGATATGAATATTCATTAGCAAAGGGCTACCGGCCGCTCTGTTAATACCGCGCTGTTTTGTTACGTTAGGCCAAAGTTTGTCTCGAGGTCTAATAATACGGTAACAGAGATGATAATTACAATTACATAACGATGACTTAACTTTATATGTGTTTATGGGAAGAATTATTATGTGTAAATACAACTGTTAGGCCCAAAGGAGGTCGTGTACCTACGGAAGCGTATTGTTGCCAACTAAAAAAATAAAATTTAGATATTATCTCGTAATTACGAGATAATATCTCGTAATAACGAGAAAATTATCTCGTAATTAAGAGATATTATCTCGTGATTACGAGATATTATCTCGTAATAACGAGATAATATCTCGTTATTACGAGATATCTCGTAATAACGAGAAAATTATCTCGTAATTACGAGATATTATCTCGTAATTACGAGATATTATCTCGTAAAAACGAGATAATTACAGTATCTCGTAATTATGAGATAATATCTCGTTATTACGAGATAATATCTCATAATTACGAGATAATTATCTCGTAATTACGAGATATTAACTCGTACGTACGAGATAATAGGGTAAGGGTGGGAAATTGTGGACAGTATCAAAGAGTATATAACAGAAGAGAGTCCACTGCTATTCTTAATGCACGCGAGTCAGCGTGACGCCCGATCTTTATATTTCATTAATGAAAATTGTTTAGATATTATTTGAAAAATATATTATATGAAATAATGTAATCGTTAACGCTTTAATAATATTTGATATTCGAATGTTAAACACAGGCACAATGTATACACAGGCTTATAGTACTAGAGTCCAGTTAAAATGTAAATAATACTCGAAATAATATACTTATTATATATTTATATAAATATTATGCGTAAATATGTATTTAGTATATTGAATTAAATTTAACGAAAAAACGGAAGAAACATATAGGAAGGAAGAAAGAAGAAAAGGAAATAAAATTGGAGTGGCTGAAAATATTTACCGAAAATAAACTTAATTTAATAACTAAATACATATTTACGCATAATATTTAGGAATATGTAAATAAGTGTATCATTTCGATACATATTTACATGTTTTAACTGGACTCTCAACTAGGCCTGTGTATACATTGTGTCTGTACTTAACATAATTCAATCTTATTGATTTATTTAAATATTATCAAATATTATTAAACGTTAACGATTACATTATTTCATGTAATGTATTTTAAAAATAAATATCTAAATAATTTCATTATCGAAATATAAACTCTGAAAGTAAATTTACGTAGATTAGATCAATAAAAATGGACATAACAATCCTTAATATAAATCCTTCATTAACAATAACTTTTTCAATCTTCTAATCAAATTTATATAGCCGGAGTTAGTTTCGACGTAGGCAAACCTTGCTAAAAAAGTATACATTCTCCATCAAAGTGCTATTTCTATGAATGGAATGACCTGTTCAAAGCAGGGGCGGCTCTAGGATATAATTTATGGGGGTGGGGGGCTAAGATTTCCGACTGGGTGACTAAGTATTTATGGGGATAAGTTTTTATGGGAGCAACTACTAGCGAGCAACGTTATCTGAGGGCCGAATACCTGAACCGGGGGGGTGGGGGTGGGGGTTGGGAGGGAGTGCTCTCCGGCCTCCCAAAACGATTTTTTAAATTGGGTCCACAATTACCTACACTCGTAGGTAATTGTAGACACTTTATCCCAGTGTAATTAATGCTTGGCTAATTAAATAATAATCTGATAACCTTGAATTATGCGTGTAATTAAAGACCAATAATAGTTGTTGATTATAAAAAAAAAAAAACTTTCAGGTGTATAACTCAATCCACATTTTTTAAATGTATGCAAATAGGGCCTATGCTTAAAGGTCCACAATTCCCCACCCTTACCCTACCTCGTAATTACGAGATAATTATCTCGTTTTTACGAGATATTATATCTCGTTATTACGAGATAATATGTCGTAATAACGAGATAATTATCTCGTAATTATGAGAATATTATCTCGTAATAACGGGATAATATCTCGTAATTACGAGATAATTATCTCGTTATTACGAGATAATATCTGAATTTCATTTTTTTTTTTAGTTGGCAGCAATACGCTTCCGTATGTACCAACCCTTATGGACCTGTCACGTCTGTAGTTAATAGGCCTAGAAATTGCCATAGATATGACTGGTTACTAGAGTAGGCCTATAGGCCTGTCACGCAAACATTGGTCCGGGCCAAAAAAATCGGTCCGTCGCACTACTAAAATCGATCCTCCGTGTTGATTTTAGCCGCTATAACCGGTCCCGCTTGGATGAAATTGATCTGCGTCGGCCTGGCCACTTCATTTGTAACACATCTGCTGCTCGTAGGGTATGATTGTCTCTCCCGTGGAGTGGAGAAAAGTAATTTATGCTTCTCCCACACTTGCAAAGTCCTTTCAGTAACAGAATGATTCGTTATAAGCTTTTGAGGAAGTGTTTTATCAAACCCACCAGATAATGCATTTCCTAGGCCTGATAGACGCAGCGTGCACCATTTTCGGCGGCCGTGGTTAGGCCTACGTTTGGGCCTAAAATGAAACACAAGACTGATAGTTTTAAATATTCCGGATTATTGTCTGGGGTATTAGATCAAAACAATATAGGCCCTATGTTCTAATACATGAAATAAAGGGGTCAGAAATCTTGGAATTGGCGTCGCGGCGTTAAGCACATACAACCAAAACAAAACAAGGTAAAACAAATTAACTCCAGCGGAACAACACGATTTAAGACCACACCGTTTACCTTTTTTTCGTTATTTTACACCAAAGGGTTCACTGGGCGCGAAGCTTTACTTAATTTTCACCAGAGATTTCACACGTATATAACATATTAGACTATTATATAATGAGAGATAAGATATTTATCTATCATTTGAATACAAAAAAAAATATGAACAAAATACAAGTTATAACTTACAGGCCAGGTAACTTACAGGCCACCGTAGCCAGGTTCTTCCAAGGGTGGGGGACCACAGTCGAAGCCCCGGTGTGGTCGGCGAAACCCCCAAATCAAGAGATTTTTTGTGCTTTATGGGTCTAAATAATGCTATAAAAGCAGATATGCCTATGTTTGAAAATGTCTATGTCTGGGTGGGTCTGCAGTGCATTAGTTTGGTTGGAGGACTTATTTGGGAAATTTTAAAGAGGGGTTTCACCAGAAAAGAGGGGGTTTGCTACAGAAGGGGGTTCTCCCGAACCATAACCCCCTCCCCCCCCCGGATACGGGCCTACCAAATAGACGCCGGACCGTTTTTGGCTTATGTGGACTATATTTGGCAGGTAATTTTTAAAGTCCGGCGGACCGATTTTGGCCCTGGACTAAATTTTTCCTGACAGGCCCACAATCACGATTTATTTTATGCCACTACCTTGTATTATTATAGCACTGTAACAAAAAACAAAAACGACATTATCATTTTTCCATAGTTTGGGGGGGGGGGTATAAGCATTATTTTAATATAAATTGAACAAAATGAAACACTTGTATTGTGCATGCATTTCTGTGTGCTTAATAGTATTACTACATATTAAGCCCAAATAAAAGTATACCAGTAGTTTTGCAAAATTATTTTTTATTATTATTATTATTTTTGCTTGTACAATCATACATTGCATATTTATCTTTTTACTTGTTGAAATTTTTCTCGGAATTTGATTTTATTTTTTTATTATGTTATTGGATTAATATAATTTTTTGCTTTTCAATTCAATTTCTGTTTCTTTTATTAAACACCACCTCGCAGCTTTTGCTGAATTACATATTAAAATTTGTAAAAGAAAAAACATCAAAATAAGAGCATAAGGAAAAAGGACATCAAAAAAACCACTATCAAACAGTAATAGAACATTAAAATTAGAAAATAAAAAACCTATACTGATTGAATTAAGGTGTTTTTGACTGTATAATGACAATTATTATTAGGCCTATTGTTATTATTATTAGGCTTATATATTATTGATTGATTTATTCAAAGTTGAAATAAGTAAAAGGTTTAGAATTTAGGTTGCTGATACGTCACACGTCTTAGATTCATAATTTCATTACAAACTATCAGTATTCAAACTACTGGTAATCAAACTTCTGTAAAAAAACATGTAATAAATAAATTTTATATTAAAGCCCCATTCCCGGCAAGATTTCAGTTGTTAAGAAAAATCTGACTTTTATATAGGGTACCGGTATAAATATTTATAAATGTAATACGAAATTGCTAATTTAACTGAATTTAGACATTAATAAACATGAAAAAATGTAAAATAAGACTGAAATTTGATCTTTCTTTTTTTTTTTGTGTTCCACACAAAAAATAAATGCGGATAGATTTTTCATGTTTGATTTTGCGATAGGTCGGCAATGAAACACAGTTGGCGCCGAAAATATTAGCCAATCCAACACTGCTAGGTTAGGCCTAGCCTTAACTCGATTTAGGTTCTGTTATCTAACATAAAAACGGCCGACATGATATTTTCAATGGCTAGTATAGACAATTGCGAAATATAATATTCATAGGAATTATTTCAAATCTGTTAAAAAAATGAATCTGACCGAGATTTTGACAAACAAACATAGCTCAAGCCTACTCGATGGAGTGTGCCATATGCGAAGTAAAAAACAAATTTCATTAGAGAGGGCCCACTTTATTGACTGTATAAAGTATACATAAAAGCAAGAGCATTCCAGCGTATGCGATCTACAACCTCTGAATCTGCCTAGTAATGAAGAATTCGTCGAGAAAATGGTAATCTCCTATGAGAAATAGTCTGTATTTCTAATTTTTTTGTATTCTCTTGCGTAAAACTAAAATTTATGCCAATATTTTCCATTGATTATAATAAATAGAGTAATGATATACGCATTTTTTCTATAAAAAAAATTTTTTTTACTGAAATTCTGCCGGGAATGGGGCTTTAAGTTATTTATAATTTTAGTACATGAACATTTAGAATTGTTTACATTTCACTGGTATATTACACACCGTTGCTTTTTGTAATTTACAATATAAAATATAAACATACTAGATATACACATTTATGACGTAAGTTATAATTCCGACGATGGAAAAAAGAATGACTTTTTTTTGTTTTGTTACAGTACTGTAATCATAAACAAGGTAGTCGCAGTCCATACGCGTAATGTAAATTAATCGTGATCCCACTCAGCTCTCTTGGGCCTACGAGCAATCAGAGTCATATCTATATGTCTGCGCTAACCATAGACAGTTGATAAGGGCCTGAGTTTGGTACATATTCTGCGACCTCCTTTGGGCCTAACAGTTGTATTTGGACATAATAATTCCCCCCTAAAACACAAATAAAGTTAAGTCATCTTTTACATTCTGATACCGTCGTAAGATAAGATAAGATAAGATAAGATTTTCTTTATTGTCACGTTTAGAATGAAGTATACATGAAATTTTTCCTGTTGACACTTGAAATCTTAACTACTAGATAAAAATATACATAATTCATATAAAAGTATAGCGCCAATGAACTTGGCTGAGACGTCGAGGGGAAAAAAAATTCGCAGCCGGGTTTAACGCAGGCCTGGCTTATCTCCAAGTCTGAACGTAGCCTACATCTGTGTTTGATGCAAACTGAATGGACTTTTTTTGAATATCAAACTTAATGATCATTGATTGACCAATTCGAACGTGTTATTGTTAGGGTAAATACGCACTACATGCCCCACAAACATGTGTATGTATATTTGCGAGGTCAAGAAATCTGCATTTACCTGCTTTTCATTGAAATTTAAACAACAAAAAACCTACCTCGCCTGTGCCCCAGTAAATGGCAGAATCATTTATGTCCAATTTGCCATGCTTATATGAGCCCACCTTTTCCAATTCAATGATTCCATCTTCTGAAGGTTTACCATTTAAGATGATGTATGAGGGATTAGTTTGTCTATCTTCTGAAAACTGAAAACTAGATCCGTTGTTATCGCTAAAATTTACTTTCTCCAAATAAGGAACAAGTTGCCATCTATCTAGCTTATCTATAGTCGGACACTTGCCATCGTCTAAGATTCCCTCTCCAGACTTGCATTCCTGGATATCCTTAAGTGCCTGTGCAATGGCATATACGGCAATATACGTTGTGTAGGCCTCGTAGTTGGTAGCTGACTGTAAATAATTTTTTGCAGCAGATTCGATGAGATTGATAGTCTTATTGTCGATGTTTTCCCTGCACAATATCTTGTCACTACAATTTTGCGTCGTAATTATTTTCGTTTTACACATCCACTTGACGAAACTCTCTAGGAAATGTATGCTGTTGTGTTTCTGGATTGTATCGAATTTAGCAAGGTGATCGAGGAGCTTCGGTAGTCGTTTATCGCTAATAGTTACACCAAGTACTGACGCAACACTACTGTAGTTATAAAACTCCTTAGATATATCCGCCCAACCGTCCGTTGCTATCCAAACTTTAGCTATAAATGAAAACATTGAATAGGATGTTGATTTGTGTAAGTTCGCGCCATATTGAAGTTATGAAAATAAATCAGTATTTTGCAAGTGGTCCGGCAAATATCTATAACATAGCAGTGTGACCAGCGATGCTAATCCAATTATGCCAGGAGTTGATGGGAAATTATGCTAGATTATGCCAAATTAAGGTAAATTATGCTGGATCATTATGCCACATTTTGATAAAACAGATACAGGTACAAAACAGGTGGGAGAGGGGAATATTAACTGATGATTTCCTCCAGTACACAAGCCCTTTAATGCATGCTCCTTTGACTGCTGCTGGATTTGTTTGCAATTAATAATTATCATTCTATATTTTAAAGCTTTATTTCATTTAAAAAAAAATTCATATTGACTGCATGCACTAGCCTTTTGACAGCATAATACTACCAGTACTGTGTGGACGGTAGATTGACTTGCATGCTTTACCATGAGATATATTAAGCAGCAATACATTATTTAGTCTACTTTTATTTTTATTCTTATTTTATTTTAATTCCACACCAACAGCGAGTACGAACCCGCCGCTTACAGGATGGATAATACACTGAATAATTTTCTTTTTTAAATTCAGTAAAGGAATCAAAGAAAATATCAATACAGTTATCAATATTAATACAATAATTATAATATTTACTTAATCTACAAATAAATCCTTTCTTAATATGATCGACTGTACCAAAAGGGACAGACAATAAATTAGCTCGTCTCAGACAATGTTTAGGAACACATGAACTAGCAATTAATGTTTTTTACCATTACGTTATTCTATATTATTGTTTTTTATTTCTTGGTTTTTTTTACAACCTGTTGTTATTACTTTTGTTCTTGTTATGTTAAATGTTAAAAGTTTCGTTATCGTTATCGTTTTTTTGAATTACATGAAATTATAATGATGTTCCTCATCATCAACCTTATTATCATCATCATACTCATCATCATCCTTATCGCTATCCTCATCTTCATCCTCAGCATCCAAATCATCCTCATTATCATTACTGGTAGTGGTGGTGGTGGTAGTAGCATTGGTTGTGTAGTTTTGGTGGTTGTGGTGGTGATTGTGGTAGCAAAGGTGACGAGGCATATAGTTAAATGTTATGGGAAATTGAGAAGGCAATCATTGAGGATGTTAAAGTTACCATGGCATTGTTTTTTGTCTTTGTAGATAATGTTTTGCGTAAGTGTCTCTGCCAAATAGTTCTTGTGAGGAATTGTCCACTTTGATAATACATTGAAGTACAGTATCCTATCCATATACAGTTTGGCATGAGATTAATATTATTAATTATGATTGATTTAGGTAAATAAGCATATAACTAACAAAACAGGCCGTTGATAATGTTCCGATGGATTTATGTAAATTTGAGGTAAATGCGGTAAATATCTTCTATGTAATAACGTGTTAACTCGGACGTGTTTGTTGTTTAAATGCGGTGTTTGAATTTATTATTATTGTTCTCTTTTTCTTTAAAAAAAATACTAATCTGATGTTCATATCAACCCATTTTTGCGGAGTTTAGCAATACTCTGATTCTTGATTTTTTTGGAAAATTGTGATTCAACTTCCTTGAAATTGGCCGCAAATTAATTATTTTAGCATTAATAAATGCATGATTTATGTTGATTTATTGATTAAATTGTTGCTATTTTTATAACATTTTCTGTTTTTAAAAACTAAATTATTTCAGCTTTTAAAAAATGCATATAATTATTTTTTTAAATCAGTTTTATTATTGGGGGCCGTTTTTACCTACCTGTTCATTTGGGCCATTTTTACCGGAGCCATTTTTACAAGGGCCATTTTTACCGGGCCCTTTTTACCTGTGCCAGTTTTACATACTTGTAACATTCATATTAGACCGGGTGGGTGGCACAATGACGACACGATAGTTATGAGATGTGGAAGTAATAAGCAAGAAAATGTGGTAACAAAATCTAGTCCTAATGTAGCGGATGTTCGTCCCGTTGGTGGTAGCTTCATCATGTGTGAAAATCATAATTGTACTTGAAATACTTTCGGAGATATTTAATGGACAGGGAAAAACACAAAAAACTACTTACTTTTGTCGTATAGATGACTTCTTACATTCATGATTATTATTTAAAGGAATTCAATTAAGTCCTTTTAGAAATTTAAATTAATTTAGAATACTGAAATATTAGACAAATACCATAACGATAAAAAAAAAGTTATTAATGTATTAGAACTTTACTACAAATTTTACATTTGAATTTCCATTAAGTTTTGAAGTTCAGTGTTACGTTAAAATTATTAAACCAGAACCGGGCGTGTGGAGGTTGAATTTTGATTGGTAGAAAAATATGATCGCAGTCACGTAAATATGATATTCATAAACAAAAACAGTTGATTAAACGTAAACAAACATATTATTTGTTTGTAAAAGAAAATCAAAATTACAGTAAAGAAACCTGCATAGAAGGCGTCAGTGTAATTTTGCAATGCGTGCGTTATCAATAGTGTCATTTTAAATAATATATTATCAAAATAAAACAAAAAGACAGTAACTCCGAAATTCAAAAATTGTATAGAAGCATTGGAATGCTGGCTGAATGAAAGTCTCGTGACATGAAATAAACAATAAGATAATTCATTGAAATAAAACAAATTTAAACAGTAGAGAATACTTTCAAGACAAGTACATGTGATATAATTACAATTTAGAATTAAGTAAATAATTAAAGCTCTTTGGATGCTCTCAACCCAGTGTTAAAACAGGCTAACGCCTAATGGCCAAAGCCTCCGTAAATAAAATTTGTGACAATGTAGAGAGCCATACAGATTTTTAGTATTATCAAAATATTAATGTTTGCTTGAGTGATAAAGTATTTACATTTTTCAGGAAAATATTATTGATAATATGATAATGGTGTAGTTTTATATATCAATGGTATGCTTAAAACCCTCACATTGTCGTATGTGCTCATGAATACTGCTAACTGATTTGAGAGCATGCTCATTTATTCTTATCTTAAGGCATCTATCTGTCTTTCCTATGTACTGTAAATGGAATTGCAACCAGGGCATTCAAATTTATAAATCAAAGAGCTACGGTATTCTTTGGGAGTAAGGTCAATAGCAGATGTAAAATAAGGCTACGGTCACACTAGAGTTTCAAGCCTGGCTTGACTCACCGCGGGTGAGATTTTCGTAATGTGACCGCATCTGCACCGACTCGTGCCTGGCGTGACCTCGGGCTCAATTTACCTATCTCGATCCCGGCGCAGCACCCATATTGACCCTGGATTGACCCTGACGTGACCGAGATTGACATTTCCTCGTCGGCAGTCGACCAATCACAGTCGATGATGCCATTGCGTTTAGAAGTTCTTGAATGAAAAAAAACCCCGCGAGTTATTCATGTCTGTTCCATCAAGACGCAATCATTACTTTTCATAAAAGTTAATTCAATTTTTAATTAATAATAATGAGATTGATTTGGAGCGACCAGGAAACTGCTGACCTGGTAGATTTGTGGGGCCAACCCGAGCTGAGAGACCGGATAGAAAATAAAAAAACAAACGGGAATTTTTGGCGTGCTTGCTGAGAGATTAGCCAGTCTCGGATATAAGAAGAGAACAACGGCCCAAATTCAAACAAAAGTGAAGGCATTGCGAGCCCAATACAAGCTGATAAAAGATCAGTTGAAGAAGAGTGGTTCGGGTACGTCTGGTGTAAAATCTTTGATTGCGATCCACCCAATCACACACGCGTATATTGAATCCCGTGAAACAGAGTTGGCCAAACTCTCTCTCTACGGCTCAGCTGTTTCGACTTTCATAATTTGGAGGCCAATCCAACTAGTGTGACCGACCGAGAATTTCGAGCCTGGCTTGAAATCTCACCCGCGGTGAGTCAAGCCAGGCTTGAGACGCTAGTGTGACCGTAGACTAAGAGACTTGCTTAGTTTGCCACATACTATCAAAACAATTGATCTCGAAATACTAAGGCGTACTAATCCGATTGAGTTCCTATTGTTCGCTATTGTTCGAGTCAATTAACTTCCAGCTGTGTTCTAGTTCTCTGATCATAAGGCGCGGTGCCGACAGTTCAGCAACAAGTATGAAAATATCACCACAAACCTCAGCAACTTGAAACTAAAAATGCAATTAAACAACGTCGCGAAGCATGTAGATCACATAGGCTATACTCATCAAAAGAATGACTCTGATTTCGATGTTAACCATTGAATTCCCTTTGGAATGATTATCAAGATAAACGAAAACATTGCAATCATTATTTAAGCGCAAGATAATGGAAAAAAGGGTTGATCGTTGTTCAATACTCATGGATAAAGCTGGTCCTCAATTAAAGGAATTTTGGCATGAACTTAAAGGGAAAAAACAAAATAATAAGGTTGACTCTATTCTAATTCCCGGAACTAATATTTTCTCCCGAAACTATGAAACAATCACTAAATTTGCACTTCAGTTCTCTTAGTAATCATAAAGAGAATAGCGACTATTGTTACGAAACGACATGCACGACAGAACCACAAGATAAGCATTCGGCTACCTTAGATCACATCAATATCTTAGTTGACGATGTTGCATATTCTGTAAAATAACAAAACGCCTGGATCTGATTGCATAACTAACGAAATTGTTGAAAATGGAGGTAATTCAATGATACGATCACTCCAGAAACTATTCCAGAGGTTCACGGAAACTGAATGCATCCCTAATGAATGGAACGAAGGAATTATTATTCCTATATTTAAAAAAGGTGATCGTCGTGATCTTATCAATTATCGTGGGATCACACTTAATTCATGTAGGCCTGTATCTAAAATGTTTAATAGAATCTTGGCAAAATACATTTCGGAATTCATAGAAAAAACAATATTTTAACCGAAGTCCGAGGAGGATTAAGAAGGGATAGACAATGCGAAGATTATATTTTTGTGTTAAAAAGTATTATCGCGACAAGGCAGGCAGAAGG